GGGATTGCTATGGGTGTTAGCCTTTACATAATTGTAGGGGCTTCTGAAGCAGTCTATGTCTGGTGTTGGGCCTGAAGTCAGCAGGAACAACAGTCAGGAAGGAAAGATGGTCATGAAATGGGGGAGAATAAAAAATGACTGGGATTGGTGAGGATAAGCTGGAACCCATGAGGACAAACTAGAACCTGTAGGAACAAATTGGGACTTGTATTTGTCTCTCATTGTATCTAACTTCAGTGATACATGTGACCTATAGGATAAGGTGGTGCCTTTGGCCACACTGTTGAACATGCACCTACTTGAGGATTCAGAGGAGCTGAAGGAGGAGATCTGGTGGGAGCTGGAGAGTGCAGGCCAGGCTGCTGGCCCATGCCTACATGGTGAGCCAGCAGATCAGTGTCTGGCCCTACAATGATCTTCAGAACATAAAAATGTCTTCAGCTTTACTTCTGCCTTTCAAATCTCACACAAATTTCTCTTTTTACTAACCTTATCCTAGAGCCATACAGGGAAGGGAATTCTGGGAAATGCAGTTCCATCTTAGCTAAATTAATGTGGTAGAAATCCACCACAAGTCCATTTCTGCATAAGCCCTTGAGTAAGCAAGGGATTGGAGATATGCATCTGGTATATTTTCAGTCTATCTCAGTTCCCGAGTACCTATCATGGCATCTCACTGTGCTGAGTGCAATTCTACTATTTGGTTAAATTTTTCAGACAAGACTGCTTTCCTCATCATAAACCAATTGCTTAATTACATGCTCACAGGAAAATGATCTGATCCAAAACTGGAGAGAAAAACTGGCTGTATTGGGTCTATGAACCAAGTGATGCTATCTGGGTCTCTAACATGGTGCCTTCCTAAGAAGGTATTTCTAGAGTAATTTTGCTCATTTATTGAATTTTCAATTTACACATTGACTTAGGAACCCAATCCTGATTTTAGAACTTTCTTCAATAAATATTTGTTAAATGGCAAATGAATGGTGTAGGGATTTTCTTCTGCTGTATTCCTCTTACCAACTAGCAAAGTGCTTGACATATATTAGATACTTAATAGATGTGGGTTAAATTATTTATTGAAAACTTTTATTCTGTGTTGTATAATATTAAAAAGAATATTACAAGTGTTTTATTTTTTATTTTTATTTTTTTAAGATTTTATTTATTTATTTGACAGAGAGAGAGACAGCGAGAGAGGGAATACAAGCAGGGGGAGTGGGAGAGGGAGAAGCAGTCTTCCCGCTGAGCAGGGAGCCCGATGCGGGGCTCGATCCCAGGACCCTGGGATCATGACCCAAGCCGAAGGCAGATGCTTAACTACTGAGCCACCCAGGCACCCCACAAATGTTTTCTTTTTTAATAGGTTTCCAAGTTGCCTTTAATACAAGCCACTGAATATTGTGTATGCTTTGGGGTCTGGGTAAAAGTGACTGCCCATTCAATTGGGTTTTGCAAGGTGAATTGAAGCTTGCAGAAAAGTGTATGTATATTAAAGTACCTTGGAAAATTTTGGCCCTGTTTGTTTCCTTCAGTGTTTTCATAAATCCCAGCACTCTGCTTTTACCTCTCTCTGTCTTCTGTTTCTCTTTCTTTGGCAAATTATCTTTAAAATATTACTACTAAGATAATCCATGCTCTTGGTAAACAGTAAATAAAGGAGAAAAGTTAACCTAAAAGTTCTCTGAACTCCTCCCTCTCCATACACAACTCCACACTATCCAAAAATAACCACTATTAATATTTTTATATATCTTTCCTCAAATATTCTATGAATTTATAAACATGTATATATATACCTGAAACAATAGTATCATATTATTAATACTATTCTGCAACAAGTTTTCACTTAATACATCTTGAAACTTTTAAAATATCAGCACATAAATGAACAGCTTTCTTTTAAGCAAACTCTTCAACATGCATTCCAAAGTACAATTTATGATTTAACTAGTTCCTTGTGATGATTATCTTAGGTTAATTCTAATAATTAGCATTACAAACAATGTTTCATATATATATATATATATATCTGTCTGTATCATGGAGGTGTATCCAAAGAGCAAATTCTAAGCAGTGGAATTGCAATGTTTGCTTGAGCTTTGTTATCAACTAAAGGGTATTTTTTTTCAGGATACATGTTTATAGCTCATTCAAGTTGCTAGTAAACACTGGGTCATGTGTGTTTCCACAGCCTCTTTTGTCAAGATACCTTTGGTAAAAGGAAAAGATGTTGAAAGAATGGTCTTTGCCTTCATCATTTGTAGATCCTTCTTTGGTCATCTATAATTCCCTAATAATCAGCAGTCATTCATAACCATTTTTTGAAACTGAAGACAGCTTTTCTGGAGACTAGAAGTATCATCATCATGTTTAAGTCAATCCAATCTATTATTCTAAAAAATATATATTTTTTCAATTTCATTATCTTAAGATTGAATAATAATGCTGATATGACCACTAAAAATTAGCTTGCTCAGCAATTGTCAGGACAACTGTCACAAAAGAGCTTGCCTATTGTTTGCTGCTGCTCCATTCCTCCCTTATTTCCCCCAAAGAATTTAAGACAGCCTATTCTGCAAAGATAAGTGCTTGAAGACTAAACACCATCATAGACTAAGGACAGGAGACAGGTGGTAAAAGAGAGAGTGGGAGGAAATTATTTTTCCAAGAAACTAGCTTATGCAAGGCCTAAAACCTAGTTCTGAGCTTCTTAGTAGAAGGTAGAGAGAGAAAAGCTGAGTTATGGAGCTTGTCTTTTTTAGCACAGAGGTTCTCAGGCCTATTAGACACAATGATTCCTTTTTATAACAAATATTTTGCCTGAATGCCTTGTTACTATCCTGAAGTGAGGTTTATGGATAATTCAGCTTATTTACCCATACCATTTAAAAATGACTATAAAGGGGGCACCTGCGTCGCTTGGTAGGTTAAGCATCTAACTCTTGATCTCAGCTCAGTTCTCAACCTCAGGTTTGTGAGTTCAAGCCCTGCATTGGGTTCCATTCCCAGCATGGAGCCTACTTAAAAAAAAAGAATATAAAGTCGGAACTCTAGTATAATGTAAGTAATGTATATTTTAATATATACATGTCTAGGCATGACTATGCTGGAAGGCAAATGAAGTTGCCACATGCTTATACCAACAGGAAGAATCACTATGAATGCTACAGCTACAAATGCAGTCTGGCTCAAGTCTGTTGGCTACTCAACAGCCACCAGACTCATTGATCATAATGATTATAGTTTTCCTAAATAGTGAAGAATTCTTCTTAAATCCTGAAAAAAAGGCATAATCTTAAATCCTGAAAAAAAAGCCGTAATTCCCCGGTTTACTTGGATTTTGAGTTTCTAGGAAATTAAGTGATATTGAAATTAAGCAGAAACTTCTTTGTATTTGCACTTAAAGTGGGTTTTTTTCTAGGTTCATAAGCATCCTTTTTTTTTCTTATATGGAAGTCTGATGAGATATTTCAACATAGTGCAGAATATGGAACAGTCTTCATTGTATAGGACTGTCCTGTACATTGCAGGCCATCCAGCATCCCTAGTTTCTGTTCACATGAAGTGCCAGAAGTTTCTCCCTCCCACCACCATTGCAACAGTCACTTTGGAAATCTGCTTGGCATTATGTGTTAAAATCTGCATTTCCCATGACCCAGTAATCTACTCCTAATTGTATATACATAAGAAATGAGTATGTATGTACATCAAAAGTTTTGTTCAAGAATGTTTGCAGCAACATTGTTCCTATTGGCCCCCCAATGGAAATAACTCAAATGTTCCCTCTACAGTGGAATGGATAAATACATTGTGCCATATTCATGCACAGGAATAATATGCAACAGTGAAGATGAACAAATTGCTACTACAGAAGCCATGGAGAATCTCACAATTGAATGACAGAGCCACACACAAAAGAATACATACTATATGATTCCAAAAGTTCAAACACAGGCAAAACAAATTTATCATGTTTGTTGGAGTAATGCCTGGAGGAGGAATGAGGTGTTTCTGTGGTGATAGGGCTTCCTTCCTCTCCCTCCCTTCCTTTTTCCACTTATCATTTATTTATACCATAAGAAGTTAGTATTCTGTGGGACACACTCTGGGAAAACTCTTTGTGTGACTTTTGTTTTATTAACTCTCAGTTTTCGTAGAGAACCTCAGAGAGGTAGGGTAGCTTGCCTAATCTTGAGTAGTGAGTGATGGGTGCAAGAGTTCTATTTCTTGACCTGGGTGGGGCTTATGTGTGTGTTCACTTTGGGATAATTCATTATCAGCAGAGGGGAGAGTATTAAAACAAGTCTGTAGGATGACATTCGTGCAGTGTCCAGGGAATTAAAAAATGACTGTCATTAGAGAAACGTTAGTTTCTCTCCCCAGTCCTCCAGCTCTCCATTTCCTCGGAAGAGAGCCCAAGAAAACCAAATGCGAGAAACAAGGTCCAGTTCAAACTGCAACCCTCACACAGATCCGGGGACTCAAATGTCCACCGCTAGGGTTAAAAGGTATTCCCAAATTGGTCCAAGGTGGTTAAAAAGCGAGCAAGTCTCTTCGCTGCCCAGGGTAAGAAGGGAAAGAAAAAACAAAGATAAAAACGTGAAGTTACACCCCAACTCGCTGTTGGGAGCTCTGGAATCACCCGGGCAACGTGGGGCCCCGCCCGACCCATCGTAGGAGGCGGGGCCAAGGCCTTGCTTTGACACTCTAGCAACGTAGCAAGCCTTTGTCGCGTCCTAGCAACACACCTCGCCCTCCCTGCGGCTGGCCTTCCCTCCCTTAGTCCTCCTTGCCAGCTCTTAGCTCCCGCTCAACCTCTCACTGGGCCTCTGGGTGGCCCCAAGGGCTTGGATTTGCATACTGGTGCTGGACAGCTCTCAGGCTTCCTGCGGTGGGAGCCACTCAGGCAGAGCCAGCACATGGTGGGAGGGACAGCGAGAAAGAGCGTTTAAGAAAGAAAAAAAAAAAATCAAGATTTGGTAATTTTTGTTTTTAAGGTACATCCAAAGCTCTGAGGAGAGGGGATTGAAGGGTGGGAAAATCACTTTTGTACAAACTCCATATAAAGAAAGAAGAGACCCATCGAGGACTGAGCACCTAGCCAACTGGAGACCTGTGATGTTGGACACCATCGTCCCTTCCGTGCAAGATCTGGGCAGGCAGGTGCTGCCCACGCTGCTGTCGCTGAGCCAGGAGGGTAAGCGATGTGGGGCGAGGGCCCTGGGGGCTGGATCTTAACCCGCTTGTGGGGAGGTGGAAAATCTCTTTCCCTATCCTCTGGAGTGGCCATGTTGTCTTGGCAACGAGCTGGTAATCACAGCAGGCTCATATTGGATGCCCAGAGACAGTTTCTTTATTGACTGCCTTAATGAGGGAAAGGGGCCAGCTGAGGATTTTGATTAAAGGACTTAATGTATTAACTTGGGTACTAGCACAAAGTAAGTGCTCAATAAATGTTAGCTAAAAACAACCACCCCAAATGGCTCCTTCTTAGACTTCATGCAAAGAAAAGGCTACCTTGGTTGCCCTTGATGTTTTGGGGTTGTTTTAAGTGAGATGATCATAAAAGGAACTGGGTGGTTGGAAGAAGACTCGGCAGCTTCTTATAGAAATCTTACTAGACTTGATCAAAAGCGTAGTTTCTTAGAAGAGTCCCCCTAAAGTGACACTGAGATGTCTGTAAGCAATGGGAGCCCTTGGTTTTCCAGAAATGGAAACTATTGTTACTATCAAGTCATTGTAATTTAGGGACTTTGCCTATGCTTTAACCAAATGACTTAAGAAGACAAAAATAAATAGGAGTAGATGCCTCTTTTCTTTCCCCTGCATCACTCCTATTTTTTCCTGTTACAGTAATTCCAGAAGAAGCATTAATAGTTTTATGGATTAAAAAATATTTGCCATATTTATAAATTTATATTTTATTTATTTATGAGTGATTTTGAAAACCTTCTATGTGTTGGGTACCAGAGAACTGATGGTGAGCAAAAACCTTGGAATTTATAGTCTAGTGGGGGAGAGATACACATTAACCAAATAATCACAGAAATAAATATTAATTTACAATTAGTAAGTGCTACTAAGGAGGAGGTGCATGGTACACTGGGAACTTTTACTGAGGGCGAGGATGGGGATGTGTGTCAAGATTTGCTGAAGAAGAGATTTGAGCTAACGTGTGAAGAATGAGTTGCAGTTAAATAGATGAGATGGATCAGTATGGTAGGGAGTGGAGGGGAGGCAACAGTGTTCTTGGCAGAGGAAAAAACAAGAGTGTGTTGATGAGAGGGAGCAAGGGGTGACTTGAGGAATTGAAGGAAAGTAAAAATGGCTGCTTTGTAAGTGTAGGAGTGAGTGTGTTCTAAAGGAGGCTGGAGAAACAGGTCAGGTGATGCAGGGCCTTGTAAATCATATAAAGGATAGTGGCCTTTATTTTAAGCCTGATTGAAGGCTGTTAAGTGTTTTGCATGGAGCTAAAGGAGGAGTTGAATGACGTGATCAAGTCTGTGTTTTGAAAAAGATTGCTTTGTTTGCCAAGTGGAGAATGAATTGGAGGGTCAAGGATGCCTAGAACAGTAACTTAAGTGAGAGTGAATGGTAGCTTGGTCTAAATTGGTAGCAGTAAAAGTGGAGAGAAGTAGACAAACTGAAAGGCTATTTAGAGGTAAAATCTACAGATTGTGGTGGTGAACTGGATAGGAGGGTGGGAGAGAAAGAAGTCTTGAGGATGAATTGAGTTCCTGGCTTATATAATTGAATAGATGATGGTGGCAGTCATTGTGATTGAAACCCTGGATACAGGGCAAGATTTAAGGGGAAGAAAATGCTGGTTTTGAGCACGTGAAGAGTCTCTGTGAGATATCCAAAGAGGCAGTTGGATACATAGGTCCAGAACCTGAAAATGCGGAGGGCGTCTGGGCTTCTAAAAAAACACTTGGGAGTTATCAGCATTTTGGTGGTCATTAAAGCCCTGGGCATGGGTGTGACTGTTTAAGAAGAGTCTGGAGTGAAGAATGAAGGCCGAGAGCTGTACCTTTGAAAATTCCAACATTCATTTTATTTATTTATTTATTTAAAGATTTTATTTACCCATTTGAGAGAGAGAGAGCGAGAGAGAGAGCATGAACAGGGTGGGAGGGAAGAGAAGGGGCAGAGGGAGAAGCAGACTCCCTACTGAGCAGGGGGCCCCATGTGGGACTTGATCCCAGGACCCTGGGATTATGACCTGAGCTGATGGCAGATGCTTAACCAACTGAGCCAACCAGGTGCCCAAAAATTCCAACATTTAATGGCTGAGTTGAGGAAGATGAGCTTACAAATGAGAATGAGAAGAAATGGCTAGACAGGTAGGAAGAAAACCCAAGAGACTGTAGTTGTCACAAAAGCCAACAGGAGAGGTGTTTAAAGGAGGAGAGAGTGGTCATCAGTGTTAGATATGACTGAGGGGTCAGAGAGGTGAAAATTAAACATATCTATTGAATCTATTGACAAGGAGACCATTGGGGACCTCAGCAAGAACTTTATTGGTTGAAGGACAGAAACAGAAGTCAAGTAACTACTTATTAACGTTCACAAATGACCCATTGTGAAGGAGATGAGGATAAACTTCCAATCTCAGCAAAACACATAAATTAACTTTACATCATTGTATATATTGAGTCCTGTTACTTCCATATGTTTCACCGAAGTTAAGTATTATGTAGTTATGGTACTTAGAAGGTCCTGTCATCATTTTATGGATGTGAACTCGGTCAAACTTTTGAAGACTACATAGCTAGCAATCTTCGGAGGCAGGACGGCTGTAGGTCTTCAGTGCAATACACTGATCTTTTCATTGCACTATGCTCTGGGAATATGTTTCTTTGTTCAAATCATTCTTGAATATTTTGCTTTGTTTGTGTGTCGGTATTTTAATTTTAGAAGATGTCTTATGAAGTCAGGGAGCTTATCTTTTATATTTGGTATTAATATCTATTTCAAGCATGTATTATTCCATAATTCACATAATGGACACTTAGTTCTTTTTTATAGTGATCATATATAAAATACAGTATTCCTGCTACTTGGCGCTGTGTTTAAAAATATGGTTTTGAATGCATAAAATGTTTAGAATTTGAAGTCAAGTAATGGTTGAACTGAGTATAGAAGGTATGTCTAGGGATTATTTCTTCATAATAGTGATTCTTGGTATTACACCTTTCTCTAAAATGTAAAATTAGCATATTCTTTAACTTGCTTCTTAGACTGGATTACAATTCTTTGTGTTTTGAGATTTAGTGATACCCTCTCTGACTTTGGGATGTCAGAAAAATTAAAGTTAAAATCATAGTTTGTAAGATTTTCAAATCTGTCTATTCCAATTGAAGTGCAGGACCCTAAAGCTTCCTAAAGGGAATGATGTGCAGCTTTTCTTTTTTTCTTCAGTAAGAAATAGCAAATTTCGGTTTAGAATAATAAACTCTGCTCTTATATAACTTTGCCTGTTAGATTGTATAGAGTAAAACACCATGACTTGAATATATTATCCAAATGAAGAAAGATGATCCTCAAATTTCCAGTTAAGCTCAGTCAGGTCTTTTCATTAGGGTTTGGTTGCAAGCGATATAGTTTCTCCTGGCTCTAATTAAATAATTTCCTTTTGGTATAGATTGTTTTCCTGAAATTTGAGCTGCCTATCATGAGTCTAGGTGAAAGATTTAATAGTTTTGACTTAATTTGAAAGGTCTCCATGTAAATCTGGGTATGGAGATTCTGTATTATTAGTAAATTAATGACATTTTTGGTCATGATGAAAATTTTGACTCAGTATACAATTGGGATTGGTTGTAAGACCTTCTTAGTTCTTAGCAACCAGAAGTAGAATTCTTTTGTCTATGGTGGTGGGAAAGAGTGGGGAATACAGTAGGATGGAGCAGAGCAGAGGAAACACTTGGTTGTAATCTTGTCACTTGGCTCACTGTAGCATGCAACCCTAGTTTTCTTTGGTGGGTGAGTGAATTTCTATCACCCAACTTGTTCCCAGATGCCCATGAGAATCACTGCTACTTCTCATTGCCTACCTATTCCTTCTCTGGCATATTAATAAAAATATTTATAACCCTGATATAATGGAATTAAAAGATTGCAATTTCCCTGCCTTAAGTAGTGGTTTAAGCCATTAGAAATAAAAGTTATATATTATGCCAAATGAAATAAGTCAATCAGAGAGAGACAATTATATGATCTCACTGACATGTGGAATTTAAGAAACAAGGCAGAGGATCATAGGGGAAAGAGAGGAAAAAATGAAACAAGATGAAACCAGAGAGGGAGACAAACCATAGGAGACTTTTAATCATATGAAACAAACTGAGGGTTGCTGGAGGGGAGTGGAGGGATGGGGTAACTGGGAAGGGTATGTATTGTAATGAACACTGGGTATTATGTAAGACTGATGAATCACAGACCTATACCCCTGAAACAAATAATACATTATTTTTTGAACTGTAAAACTCAGTTTAACCACAGTGCCATTTTTTTGTTCAAACAATTTTAATTATTTAATTGAATTTAAATTTAAAAAAAAAGGAAAAAAAAGAAATAAAAGTTATACAAATAAATCAAGCAATTTCCAAAGTGGGGAGAGAATTTGTCTTTTGTCACCAACTGCATCCATATCCCAAAGTGGCAACCCGGTAAATGTCACTGTTCTTGATCTTTTATTTTGAGAATTAAAACATAACACTCTAGGGGCACCTGGTGGTTCAGTCAGTTAAGAGGCTGCCTTCGGCTCAGGTCATGATCCCAGGGTCCTGGGATCAAGCCCCACGTCGGGCTCCCTGCTCAGTGGAGAGTCTGCTTTTCCCTCTCCCTCTGCCTGCCTCTCTGCCTACTTGTGCTCTCTCTCTATCTCTCTGTCAAATAAGTAAATAAAATCTTTAAAAAAAAAAAAAACCATAACACTCTTGATTTGCAAAGAGTTCCTCAATGGAAAGTTGTTTTTTTTTAAGATTTTATTTATTTATTTGAGAGAGAGAACGAGAGCACGAGCTGGGTGAGGGGCAGAAGGAGAGAAAATCTCAAGCAGATTCGCCACTGAGCACAGAGCCCAACACGGGACTGGATCACACAACCGTGGGATCATGACCTGAGCTGAAATCAAGAGTCAGATGCTCAACTGACTGAGCCACACAGGTGCCCCTGGAAAGTATCTTTAATATA